CCGACCAGGCAGATAACGATCGACATCTTGAGATAGCGTAGCAGAAAGTAGCCGTCGAGGGAGTTGTGTTGGAGAACATACTCATCGGGCAGCTACTCGAGCCGATTAGACAGAACGGCGGTTGTGAATGAGGGATACTTACTCTTCTCATAAACGGAATCCATCCAAACAAGGTATTCGGGGGCGCAGGAGTTCGTTCTTGCGGACGCAGAGCGCCCAGGTATGTCCTGGGGGCATATTGTCGAGGAAACCGGGTTCTCAAGAGCAGAAAGACGCCGAAATAAACGAGGGCGATGACCAAAGTGGGCACTAAAGTGGATATGAGGCCTGAAAGCGAGGGAGAGCTGCTCCTGCTGGAGCCAATATTCTTGTCGTCGTTTGCATTGGTATCAGGAGCTTGACGGACGCTGAGCACGGCATGGAGTGCGTCCATGGCAGATTGGCAGATTGTGCCGAAGCGCACACGATCGCGGGTGATGTCGACCTTGACAAAAAGAATTTGCACGAACGGAGAGGGAACGAAATGCAACGCGAAGCAAGGGTTAACCAAGGATTATGGAACAGTTGAAGTCTCTCGCGGTGGACGAGCAGAAGTTGGGTATAACAATGCACATCTGGAGATTGTCCGGCTGTATTTACAATGATGTCGAATGCCGCGTTGGTCGACGCATTGGGCCTTGTTTTCCCGCTGAGATCTTCAGGCGTGGCAAGCGCAGATGACGCCGACGTGCAGTTGAAATGGGGGTCGCAGGGGGTGGCCCTTGGGGCTGCCGGGGCTACTGAGACACTACGAGGCCGCTACCGGCCTCTATAGGGACTGCTAAGCCTGCTAGTGGCTCGCCAGTGCAAAATCCAGGCATGCACCCCTGTCCGCCTGGGCCTAGTTGCGCATAGTCCAGCTCTCTACTCGCAAGAAATGGAGCATCGACCTTTCTGCACATGCTTCTACTGATATTCATCCCGCCCTCTACATTTCACCGTAAAACTTTAAAAGCCCATGTGATTTCCCTGGTAATTAGAGGCTTGCTGCAAGACCTTTGGTACATAACAAAAAGATACTCTTTCCAGAGTTGGATCTTAGCTTCTCATCACCTTCGTGTTTTTCCACAAAGACTTTGATATCTCTTGTGACTTCATGCAGGTGAATGCGTCCGAGCTGACACACCAAGATTTTCATCCTCGATCTTCGCTTCCGATATCTCGATTTCGCCTAGCAGTCGAGAAATCCACCTAGCGGCCCCGCTAACCGAACTTCCAAGGCACCAAAAATCACCTTGCCAGCTGAAAAGGAAGATCCAGACCTTGCTTTTTCCCCCTTCCTCAAGCCACATCTCGGAACTCCCCGTGTCAAGGGCTGTCTGTGGCTGTGCTCTGTGGCCAGGTCGGCTTACTGAAGCGTTCTCGGCGCTGGCTACAAGCACTCTGAAGTTACGCGGGAGCCTTGTCGGTGGCTTACGACGTGCCTGGGCAAACAGGGTTCTTCAAACTGGCAGCTTGCGATGGTGAGGTGATCCAGTGCCAATATTAACCAGCTAGCCAGGAAACGCATACCTACAGGGGGGGTCAAAAGGGATTCGTAAGGGTACTTAAGAACTTCTTTGCTTCTGTGTTGTGGATAACTCCTATCACCAGCTCTAATTCAGCGCGTAGTTGTACAGAATGTTTTCTCCACGTTCGAGATGAGCCGCCCCTTGGTCACCCCTCACTTCTCGATAGCCAGCTTAAACAAATCACCATCTGTGTTACAGACAGTTCTTCCATTTCAGCTCTACCTAGCTCCAGCTTCAACATCTTGCCGTATGATCAAGATTACCATTCAACGTTTCAAACAAATATCAGGCGCACGCTCATATCACAAATATTTGTGCTGGTGTGATATTGCCCTGTCCAGTCCCTCCTCCCGTGTTCTTCGGGATAGAGATGACTGCCCCTTCCAAAGGGTGCGAAAAGAATGAAAACTGGACTATGTCCAGCTTGAGGGAGCCGTCGCGATGTGTCGCGGCTCCGAAGAAACTCCATATTTCGCCGTTTCGCCATTTGTGTCAGTAACTGTGCCCAACCAATCTCCCAAGTCAAGGTCGTAAGGTCATGAACTTGCTGAAGTTCCCAATTTCTCGAGATCTTTACAGCCATGGCTTCGCCATCGACCCGAGCTTGTCTTCAAAGATCCCGCCATACAAGCCGGCGATTTCGTCAAGATAATCTTCCACCTTGAACTTGTAAAGTCCCTTGCTCAGAATCTCTTGTTCTTCTTCATCAAGTAATCTTGCAGTAGCACCAAACTCTTCGGCGATCTCGTTCACTTGCGCCAGTTCTCTACCAAAAGGATGGCTGCTATCCATAGACGAGTCGGCATTACTTCGGACGGTAGGCTGGGCAATGTTGACAGGAGGTGGCGACATACGCTGAATCGATCGCTTTTGTGACAACTCAACATGTGCCTTTTTGGAATGAGACGGGGCTCGCTGTGGGACAACAGGTGTGTCAAAGGTTGGTGAAGCAATGGCGGGAAGAACGGGAGTGGTCTGTTTCACATCGAAGAATGATTTGGTGTCGTCGGTCGCAGGTGTCACAGGAGTTGCTGGGCCGCTGCTATCAACGGAGGAGCTGTCATTGATTGTGCTGGTGAGAAAGCTGCGGTCAATGGTCGAGAAATCAGAGTCGTTGACCGACGAAACCGACCCTGACGACGATCCGGAAATGCTGCGAATGTCTGGGGCGGTCAGTGCCTGGACATTTGTTGTCGAGATCAGCTCGGTCGGCAAAGAGATGAGATTGCGATCAATAGTGCCAGGGGCGTATTTGACCGTTGCGCCACGTTGCAATGGCCCTTGGTCCACAAAGTTGCGCTTGACGCGCTTGGTGAATGCGCGAGAAATAGACATTGTGGAAGAAGTTCTTGAAGGAGACAATTGCGAGGGATGTTCAAGTATCCTTCACTCTCGGCAGTGGGCACGAGATCCCAGAGGTGTGTGCGCGCTCGGTAGTGCGAGGGCGAAGAGGTGGTTTGTGCGTTTGTTTGCAGCTTTTCGGGTCCTCCCTTGGTTTGGTGTTGCAGTTGTAGTGATGCTGTAGAGTTTACCCCCCCGAATATCTCCAGATCGAATGGGAACGTCGTCGTTGTAAGGAATGACAGTGGAAGATTGCTGGAGGCAGGACGCAGTCCGCTCAATTAAAGTCGTCTTGTTTGATGGTGAAAGGCCACGGGGACAAAAGGCAGCCGTAAGTAAACACTTGGTTGGTGAAAGAATGAATGGCTTCGACCTGTGCGGTACCACGACGAATCGACCGTCGAATAATGAGTGTGACTTGTGATGGAAAGCGAGCAGGATGGAGGGTCAAAAGAATGACTGGGTGGTCGAGGTATTTGGGAAACGAAAGACTTTTTTCTGTCGGGATTGGACGTTGGGGGGACAGAACGGCAAGGGCGACAAAAGGGTCGAAGCTGCAGGAGAGAGAAGAGAGGAAACGAAGAAGATACGGATGCAGGCTGCAGGATGCAGCGAGATGGAGCAACTTGACATTGATTGACAGCGCCTGCAGCCCCAAACAAACAACACGGAAGGGCTCGAGAGGGCTCGAGGGCATGGCTAGTGGGCCTAGTGGGCCTAGGCTCCCCTGGGACGCCTGGGTTAACTGCCTAGGTACCTAGTAGGGCCTGCTAGGGCTCCACGGGCACCCACTGGAGACGATGTGAAAGGCTCTTACTGCCCACAACCACGTAAAATCTTGGATTGTCCCCGCTCACTTGAAGCGATGGCGTCCAACATCACCATCCTCTCAGTGGCCACCCTCCACGCCACTAACGCATCTATACCCCTCACAGCCTAGATCAACCCTAATTACAGCAAAAATCCTTCCACCAGCCAGGGTTCTCGATTCTCAGGGGCCACGCGAGAACAGAAAAACCCGGACCAGTCGTCCACAGCCAGTCAAAGCCGCCAGATTGTTTTCAGAGCCGCCGAGGAGGTGATGTGAAACGACAACCCTACATATCCTGCTCATGCACGAACCACTCAGGACACCTGCCAGAGTTCACGTCAGGGCGCTTCTTCAAACTTCAGCAATGCGAAGTGACTTGGCCCCCCGGATTTGCCTATGAAGCGAAGAGGGGGAGAAGATGAGGGAAGATTCAGAGAGAAACAAGACCCGATCCTGTCCCCTACGAGTATGGACGTCGTTGACGAACGAGAACAAACGTGCTCGATTCCCCTCAATTGGCTAAGGGGCATCGATCTCAGCTCGAGTGTTACGATTGCGACTTGCGCCTCCTTTTGTTCGTGTCCATTTCCAATTTAACAACGGGCATGACAAGACCCTGGGATGGCAGGGCAGACTGGTCCTCGGCCCATGCATCATGCATCTGCCTTGATCTACCCCAGCTCGACCTAGACAGATCTCCAACGCCGCCGTTTGAGAATATGGCGGTGCGGGAACACAAGCAGATGGCTAAGCGGAAACCGACCAAAAATGCTTACCTGGAAGTATAATAGGGTACATCGGATATGCCTGTTCGGAACAGTCGTTTCAGAGATACACCACTCCTGGACTTGGACTTGTGGACCTCCTGAACCCTTCCGAATCGAGCTCGCCCAAGTTTCATGTGCCTGGTGTTTCGAAAGGCGAGTTCAAGACCAGCTTCCCCGGAGGTAGGGGGTTCCAACTTCTAATGCACGTGTGCGTAGGTGTATGTCACCTTTTCCATGCTTTCATGCGCGGATAAACTACTCGTAGAGTCAGATGATTATGCGGTCGATCTCTCCACGCGGACGCGCAGTCTTGCCAAGCCCAATAATTAAATCTCCGAGGGGTACCTTGTACGAGCTTCAGCCTTGCAGAACAAAATGTCTTTCTCCGCAAAGACAGCAACCCGCAAAGGGATTTCCGGTCCTCGCGAATAATATTAATAATACTCGGTAATACTCATGGAAATAGGAATAATATTCAACCTTGAACTCCAAAGTCTCGCTGAGAGAGGGGAGAGGAGAGAATAAAAGACAATGGTCCGGATCAAACACCGCTATCTCCTCTTCAACATCCTCTATCCGTCTCCCTCCGCACCCGCGCCCTCGACTTCCTCAGCTACCTCAGCAGCACCACCACCATTGGCATCAAGTCTCACCGTGAAAGACGCGGCTACACCACCACCGCCGCCATATATCCTCTTCCTGCGCCCGTCGCCGAACCACCTCACGCCGGCATTGCTTGTAACGCATCTGCGCAGCCAGATCCAGACGCTGTTCGGCGACCACGGCGTCTCCGTGACGCAGTCGTCGCTGCGGCTCGTGTACTTCTCACCCGCGACCTCGACGGGGATCCTGCGCGTGCCGCGCGCCCACTTCCGTCTCGTCTGGGCTAGTCTCACCTTTCTAACGAGCGTCCCCGCACCTTCCTCGCTTCCTGCACCTCATCCTTCTCCCGCCGGAGGGCCACGCGCAGGAGGGAAACGAGGAAGAGGAGGAACAGGCGACGCAGCAGCAACAGCAGTATGGGGGCGTCAGGAGGTGGCTTGTGTGGTGCGAGTGGTCAGGGTGAGTGGGACCATCAAGAAGAGTGAAGAGGAGCTTCTGAGGAGGGCGAGGAGGGAGGTTGTCAGAGCGAAGCTGCAGGGTCGAAGTGTAGGTGACCAGGAAGACGACGCGGTTCTGAAGGGTCTGTTTGCTGGTGAGAACGGGAAGACGGCCGCGAAGGGGAAAGGGAAGGCAGATGGCCTGGGGCTGATGGGCGAAGAAAGCATTCTAGATCTGGACGAGGAGGATGAAGAAGACTTCGAAAATGATTCTGGTTGAGAAAGACTTCCCCGATTGAAGAATGTTTGGTTATCTACCAACAGAGCGACGCACCCGCTCGAGCAAGATGTGCTCACAGTCAAATGCTTCAACTGATCCCAGAACGCGTCACGACCGCACCCTTCCCGCGACATCTTGGGGCTCCGAGTTCCCTCATCATGGCCGTTGTATTCGCCATAGCTATCACCGCAATGACAGTGGCCAACCAGCTACCTTGGACGGGGAAAGTCGACTGAAATAGACTGTGGAACCGGCACTTGACACCAGCAGGGTCACGAATGCTTGTTCCCACTTCTCATAACTTTTACACCACCATCCTTCATCGGCGGTAAGCTCATGTCCTCGTCTCCATCCTCGTTCATTCTCATCATCCCCTCTCCGCTCTTCACCCACTCGACTTCCCTCCGCTTCTGCTCCTCTTCCCACTCCTTTCTCTCTAACTCATCGTATTCTTCTCTCCTGTCGATCCACCGTTCCTGGACATCCCTGACATCCATCTTGCCAAGTCCCTCCCTGACAGCGACCTGCCAAACAGAATCATTCGCGCCCTCGGCGCCGCCAAACGCATACCCCCCCGCCCTGTCAATCGTGTGCAATAAGCTCATCATACTCTTTTTATCCTCGACTGCCAATGTCTCGAAGCCGACTAACCCATACTCTTCGACGAGTTGGACAATCGCCTCGTTCAATGCCTGAAACTTCCCGCCGTGCTTGAACATCGGCGACTCTTCCTCGAGATAAGGGAGCAGGTACGATAGGTCCTGAACTTCGGTGTAAAAGTCCAGATTAAACGGTAAAGGGGGGTATTTACTGAGATTGTCGATTTTCGTGAGGACGTTAATATGTGTAAAATCGAGTTGGAGCATGCTCCGTAGCGACAGCAGGAGGGTGGAGATGTACAGCGAGGGCAACGTTAAGGCGTATGAGTCGATCAGGTTGACCACCACTAGCTGTTAACAAAAACGAATGGACAAACCCGTCAGCCCATGTACTTTGCTCTTAGGAATGAGAGATAGGAAGCAAAAACAGAAAGTCAACGAGCAGGAAGGAGAAAACATGGTGGATAGGAGAGGGGTAGGGCCAAAACACACACACGATACCCGATCTTTTCCAACCTGCCAAAGATCCTCCTCAGACTGCCATGGTGGGTAAACAGCTCGACCTGGCCGGGACAGTCGAAGAGGATGTAATCGTCGCCGAGGCGCTTGAGCCCTTCCTCAAACCAGCCGTCAAAGTTCTCCTCGAGCTCTTCCAGCGCGTAGAGCACGCCGCCGTTGGGGCCGAGCCCGATCTCCTCGTCCCGCATGATCGTGTCGAGCGAGATGAGGTCGCGGATGTCCAGGGCCGGCTCGTAGGACGCGTACGAGGACGAAGGGACGGGATCGTTGGCCGGGTCCAGATTCACGACCGAGCACTTGCGCCCGATCGCACCCATGAACTGCTGCATGCCGTTGCAGTAGGTCGACTTGCCAGCGCCCGGGGGCCCGATTACGAGTTGTGCAAAGGGCATTGCGCACGGTTAAGGAGGTCGTGGAAAGGAGAAAGGAAAACAGTCACACCGGTCACGTCTTCAGGATTCGCTTATAGGGCTCTGGGCGGTTCGATGGCTTTGGAAATTGTAGCGGTGCAGGCTGTACTCGATCGACGAAGGGTGGTCTAGAGTCCTTGGATATTATTGTCCTCAGCTGGTGAGTCTCATGAGCCTGCCATAGTACTCGGAGCCTGTCGGATGTCTGTCTGCGATAGATGGAGGTATCCTAGCTATGGAAACTGCGGGTGAAGTGAAGGGACAGAATATCTGCGGGAGGGAGCGAGAGCAGCGAGAAGCAGCGCAGACACAAGGCGAAGGCGGCGTTGGAGGGGCAGAATCTCTTCCGACGCTCCGCCAATCACATCGCTCACCTGCTCACTACTTCAGCCTCGCCAGCATCTTCTCATCCTGCTTCACATCCCCGCGCTACAAAGACGCCTTTCGCATGATAGATCAATATCTCCATCGACTAGGATATCAATAGAAATACATCAGAGCACAATAGCCTCCCATTTTCGTGCATCGATGTGTCAGGATCGATCTCGCCCGCTCAGTTTTCAGCACCAGCATCAATGGCTCTCATCTAGGCAGAAACAAGGCCTCAGTATCAGTCGTGCTCGATTGACGATCCCTTCCTTCTAATCTCAAATGAGTTTTCAACATTTATGTCCTGTTTCCACCCTCCCCCTCTTGCATTAGACCAACCTTCCGCTCCTGGGCGGAATAGACCGAACACTTCGCTCACCCAGCTGTTTCGCCCATTTCCGGCTTGCCTAGGTTCAGGGACATCGGCGTGCGTCGTTCCTGTTTCATTGCCAAGGTGAGCACTGTCCGGCATTGTGATGCCCATCATTTCAACATCAGATCCTTCCGCTATACTCTTGTCGCGCTCAATAACCGTAGCATCATCGCTTCGAGGGCGGGTAAGGGTGGGAAATCCAGCCAACGTGCTTGTGATCGGCGCCGAACTAGGTGGCTCTGGCCCTTGACGAGCCGAATCGACTGAACTCGTCCTCCTGCCGCCATTAACGCTGATGGACGACGAATTTTGGACAAAATCACCATGAGCAGGACGCCGAAACTCTGCTTTGACTTTCTGCTCAAACAACTCATCCCTGCAATCTTTTGCTTGGCTCTGTTGCTGAGCGCTGAAAAATGACAGAGGAACATATGTCAATTCCTTCTTACTCGATGTCGCATGTATGCTTCTCAACACCCGAACTGTTAGCAAGGTACATGTTGGTGAGGGGCTAGGACCGTCGCCCGGTCGACTTGCAACTCGGAATGCTTTAGCGGAAAATTTGGCCTGCATCATGGTATCGTAGTCACCGATGACATCAACGAGCTTAACGAAGGTATTGTAAAGCTGCCATCGGATCTCGTCGCCAATTTGTGATTCACTTGATTGGTTGAGAAGGATCCTGAGAATCTCACTGACAGTGCAATCTTCAAAACGATTTAATTGGGCCAGCTGATCTTTGGATAGATCACCGGACTGCACCGTGACGTGAGGCAAGTGGTCTTGAGAGGCAGCTGGCACCAGGATGTCGAAACTTTTGTACATGCTCGGGCGAAGCATGAAACAGGCTAAATGCACACCGGGTGGTAGAAGATGCCCGGACGATGCGCCCAATTTCATGCGCTCAATTTTAGCCACCATGTTGTCACGGTCGACTTGCATGCTCTTAGTCAGAGGTTCCGCGATTTGCTCAATGGTGGCAAAACGGTATCCCAGGGCGGCAAATCTAGCTGCCTCACCCTTGTTTATTTGTCGATGAACGAAAAAGTACTTTCCTCGAGACACTGTGAGCGGCGATAAAAATCCTTTCTCCGCATCTGCCGTCTTTTTGTAAGATCTGGCTGATAGCAGCCTGATGTCGATCCTCAACGGCGTGGACGCAGATGTTGCGCCTGTATCTAGATGTTCTTCAAATAGAACTCCTAACCTCTCCAGCGGTTCGTGAATGTGATTGGCTAGCTGCTGGGCCGCGACACAAAACAACTGCTTGAAGATTGGAGCGAAGTTGAGGGAGCTTGCCATGGCGTCGTGCGGTAAATTTTGGGAAATGTTGCTGGGCCGAAATTTCCTCGCTGTCGGGTCGTTTTCGATATACTCTTTCATGCTGGGAATGAGGTCTCGCAGCGTTATCCAATTGCGGGATGCTTGAAAGATCCAGAGGTAGGTTGGATGAGACCTGCTGAGCTCGTCTTCTCCAAAGGTCTAAAATGCCTCGTCAATACAAGCAAGGCTTGAGTCAAGAGGTGCCTACCTTTTCAATGTAGTGATTTGTTATCTTTTCGCTAGGCAAGGTTCCTTCCTGGGTGACCATCACTCTGCCCTCATCATCGAAGTACGCGCAGGCCAGCATTAGACGTTGTGCTTTGATTCTGGCAGTGAGCTTGTTGCGACCTCGGATGAAGGCCACCGCAAGAAGGATGACACAGGATCCCATTGACTGGTAGGGTGACATGTCAGCTGCAGTTCCTGCATGACAAGGTATTGGACTAACAAGAGCGGCTGCAATGACTGCCGTTTGGGACCTAGAGTTTCCGGGGATACTCAAATGACCTTTCCAATGGTATATTGTGCCAACCGCTGCGGTCCAATGCATGCCCGAGACAGCGGTGGCCAGAATGACGCCGCATAAGGCTCTTTTCCACCAGCCGTCTTTCCACGCGTCTCGTAACCGAAAAAAGATGCCAAGGGCGATAAAACTGGTCAACACTGCGATGATAGCGGCTCCAGCAACGTTCTGAGCCCGGTAGAAACAAACATAGTTCTCAACGCTGTATTGGCCAAGATAGTGCATGCCACAAACAGCGGCTCCAGTGAGACAAGCGGCAATTGCAACGTGAAGCTGACGAGCGCGGGTGGGCATTCCGAGGGTGTAGAAAGCGAAAAGAAGGACCAAGATTGGCATGAAGAAAGAGATTACGGTGAATCCGGGGTCGTAGAGTATCTGACGTTCGGGGTCTCCGTCTTGAAGCACGATAGCTCTATTACCGACGAAGTGCATACCCCAGATACCAATGCCACCCATGGTGATGGCGGATGCTACAAGGAGAAACCTGCAGATTGGTCAATGGTCCGGAAGTTGATGAGGGAGAGGCAAACTTGCCAATTGTATGCTCCTCTCGTTGATGTACGCCTTTGTAGGAGTTCCAGGGTAGTGGTACATCCTATGAGCGAGGTGAAAAAGGAGAGAGCGATATGGCCAGCATCATAAGAGACGGCAGTTTGGGAGGGATCATGGGGGCTAGCTCGAACAGCCAATTGATGCAGTGTGAGGAGGGCACTGTGATCCATTTGTCAGGGAAGGAAATAGGAGGGAAGAGAAAGTGGAAGTGGTGAAGCGAGCGGAATATTGTGAGGTACAAGTGAAGGAAGAACCAATCTGAGGGCGGTCAAAGAAGCAGAAAGACTAGAGATGAGGATGGCGGACAGACAGCACACAAGGTAGGATTCAGG